AAACAGTGAGGGAGCCAACTATGCGTCCCTCAGAGTTCGGAGATAATGGCTGTGCATACACAAGAGACTGTGAAATAAATATTTTGGGAAGGGGAGGCCAGATTTTCCACCTTCGCCACATCAAGCAGTTGGTCCCTTACCTTTCCTGCCCTGATCTTGCCACTGTGATCCATGCAACGGTCACCTCCAGGCTTGACTACTGTAATTCGCTCTATGCGGGGCTGCCCTTGAAGCTGTCCCAGAAACTCCAGCGGGTGCAGAATGCTGCAGCGAGGCTCCTCACGGGGTCTATGCCATGGGAGCATATTCACCCAGTGCTTTACCAGCTGCACTGGCTCCTGGTGGAGTACAGAGTCAGATTTAAGGTGCTGGTTTTGACCTTTAAAGCCCTTCACGGCCTAGGACCCTCGTACCTATGGGACCGCCTCTCCCAGTATGCCCCATGGAGGACCTTAAAGTCCATAAATAGCAACACCCTAGTGGTCCCGGGCCCTAAGGAAGTTAGATTAGCTTCAACCAGAGCCAGGGCCTTTTCAACAGTGGCCCCGGCCTGGTGGAACGCTCTGCCTCATGAGACCAGGGCCCTGCAGGATCTGATTTCTTTCCGCAGAGCCTGTAAGACAGAGTTGTTCCACCTGGCCTTTGGCTTGGAGTCAATTTGATTCCCTCTCCCTCTTTCTTTTTTCCTTTCTCCTCCTGCGATGAGGCTGCATTTTAATGTTTTAATGTTGTATTTTAATCTTGTTTTTAAGTTGTATTCATTCAATTTGTTTCTATTATTGGTTGTTAGCCGCCCTGAGCCCGGCCTTGGCTGGGGAGGGCGGGGTATAAATAAAATTTATTATTATTAATAATAATCAAAAGAGTTCTGAAAGTGGCCAAGACTTTGATCTGATAGACCTCCTATATCTTGAAAGCTGAATTCAGCAGGTGAAGCTTCCCCCTTCTTGCAGATCAGTTTGTTGAAATCCTGATTGTTAGACACAGAAGCTCTCCTAGGTAAAAGGCTGGCGTCCCTAATTCTCGTCTCAATCATTCCTTTTTTTCCTTCATAGGGTCTGCATCGATTGCCCTAGGTTAACAAACCATCCTTAACATGTACCATTCTCTAGTTTGCTTATGGACCCAAAAGACTGATATGAGATGAAAAAAATGCAGGGAGCAAGGAAAAGAGTTCCAGGATAATTTTGGGCCCTTGATTCACTTTGCTTTCATTTCACGCTGAATTCTTGTGATGGCCTGGGATTCCGATTCGGAGGATGAAACAGAGGAATCCCAGCCTGCACAGGAGTCCCCGCCTCCAGGGCCGGCTGAACTGGGGCAAGGCCTAGATGCTGAAGAGCCTGCACCTGTGGCAGTGCATCAGGAGCTGGCCCCAGGTGAAGTCCTTCTGGCCCCAGAGGGGCTTGATGACTCAGTGGCCACAGGTGAGCCTCCTCCAGGGCCCAGTAACCCTTCTGCCTCTCCTGATCTGCAGAGGCTTAGGGCAGAGAGGCGAAGGGAACTGGTTGCCCCCAGGAGGAGTGCTCACCTTAAGGCCAGAGGAGGCGGGGCTCCTGGGGGTTGGGACCGCTCCTGACCTTAGAAGAGGATAAAAGCCCAGTCAGCCCGGCCCCAGGTTGCGGGAGCAACGTCATTGTTGGCTTCGGACCTTCCTGTGTTCCTGATCCCTGCTCGGCCGCCTGTTCCTGACTATCCGGTACTCCTGTTCCCTGCTCGGCCTCCTGTTCCCGTCCATCCGGTGTTCCTGTTACCTGCTCAGCCTTCTGTTCCAGCGTTCCTGTTCCCCGCCCGGCTCTCTGCATCGGACCTCGCCCCTCTTCGTGTGGACTCTGCTACACCCACGGTACCTTACCCCCGGGACCAGCACAATTCTTTTCTTAAGCTCGTTCATCTCTGGAAGGCAGAATAAGAGAAGTCTGCTTACCTTCAATGGTCAGGCAAAGTCCACGCCTGCGATCTGGCACTCTGTTGGGGAGAATTGCAGCCTGCCTGCAGATTGGCCAGTTGTAGGCAGACTTAGGTGCATGCATACCACGGGGATGGTCCAACTGGTCACTTGGCCCTGCTCCTGCCTAGGCCTCTTCCCCAGTTTGTTGACGGATCACTTGTTCACTGTTTTGTATGTAATCATCTAAAGATGCTACAAGGTGCAAGGGGAGTGGGAGTTGACCGCTTTGAGACTCCTTTGGGTAGTGATAAAGTAGGATATGAAATCCAAACTCTCCTCCTCCTCCTCCTCCTCCTCCTCCTCCTCCTCCTCCTGAGATTTTATCATTTTAACTTGTAAACTGCCTTGAAGCAGAATGTAATAGGCAGCATAAAGGTAAAGGGACCCCTGACCATTAGGTCCAGTCGTGGCCAACTCTGGGGTTGCGGCGCTCATCTCGCTTTATTGGCCGAAGGAGCCGGTGTACAGCTTCCGGGTCATGTGGCCAGCATGACTAAGCCACTTCTGGCGAACCAGAGCAGCGCACGGAAACGCCGTTTACCTTCCCGCCGGAGTGGTACCTATTTATCTGCTTTTACTTTGTGCTTTCGAACTGCTAGGTTGGCAGGAGCAGGGACCGAGCAACGAAAGCTCACCCCGTTGCGGGGATTCGAACCGCCGACCTTCTGATCGGCAAGCCCTAGGCTCTGTGGTTTAACCCATAGTGCCACCCTTAATAGGCAGTATAAACTTTTATAAATAAATAAAGCATGTTCTCCCGATTACCCCCATCAGAATTATTTTAGTTTTGGAATCAGCTTGTCTGAAAAGCAGGACAGAAATTCAAGAAATATACAGCAACCCAAGCAACTGTAAATGCTGACGTAAGACGGGAGCATTTGGTAAGCTTCTGGGCTTTATCCCTTTCTGCGAAAACTGATGATTACACAGTATAGATCACTTGGCTTGCATATGTTAAGGTGCAGTGCCAACCCTTTTATATTTGCAGCCTTTTTTGCTTCCTTGACACAAGGCTGCTCGCTGAATTTGGTAGGTTTTTATTTCTTCTCAATGTTCTGTGCTGCAGCAACTTCCCCAAACCAGAAAGATGTTTGCACATTTTAATTATTTTTTTGCATTGAATAAAGTTCAGCTGTTTGTATTTTAACTTTTGTATATTTCAAAGTAGGGTTGTAATTTTTCCCCAATTTTACTGTTTTATCTTTTGTAAACCACTCTGAGTTTTCGTTCACAACCAAATGGTATATAAATTTTATGAAAAATTAAATACCGTATTTTTCGCTCTATAGGACGCACCGGACCATAGGAGGGGGAGAACAGGAAAAAAATAATTCTCCCCCTCTCTGCTTAGCGTCCCTTCAGAGAAGCGGCAGGAGAAACGGAGCCCCTTCCATTTCTCCTCCCGCTTCGCTGAAGGGGCGCTGCGCAGAGGGAAAACTGTGCAGTGCCTCTCCAGCAAAGCGAAGCCTGGAGAGCAAGAGGGATTGGTGTGCACTGATCCCTCTCGCTCTCCAGGCTTCAGGTGGCTATCCGCAAGTCTTCGGAGCGCAGCGGGAGTTCCCGCTGCGCTCCGAAGGCTTGCGGATAGCTGCCTGAAGCCCCCGGAGTGCAGTGGCCGTTCGCGCTACACTCTGGGGGCTTCAGACGGCCATCCGCAAGCATTCGGAGCGCGGTGGAACTCCCGCTGCGCTCCGAAGGCTCGCAGATAGCTGCCTGAAGCCCCCGGAGCACAGCGGGAGTTCCCTGTGCTCTGGGGGCTTCAGAAAAAGCAACACGAAGCATCTGGAGTGCGGGGGGAGCTCTCCCTTTGCGCTTCCAAGGCTTTGCATTGCTATCGCTGAAGCCAAGGAGCCGGCATTCACTCCATAGGACGCACACACATTTCCCCTTCATTTCTGGAGGGGAAAAAGTGCGTCCTATAGAGCGAAAAATACGGTAAATATGTAGGATCTATCCAGAAGGGCTGGCACATTTCCACTTTGCTGACCTTGCATCTCCACTTCTGCACCCCCGTATACAGCAGCAACACAGGCAACCATCTGCTACTGCTGGAGCCAGCCCTGGCAATCTGACACAGTTCAGGTGGCCTGGGGTTGGGAACAGTGTAGTGGGCTAGGGACAATAAGAATCACCTTGCTTGAACAGACTGAGATCCATCCAACTCACTCATTTCCAACTATGGCTAGCCATCGGATGTCTCTGGAAAGCTCCTGAGCACAACATGAAGAATAAAACACCTGGCAATTTGATTATTATTTATAGATGCAACTATCCTCCATGAATTTAACCCAACCATTTATCAGCTTCGGTGGGAGAACCAACGTTTTCCAGAAGTTGTTCCAGCTCTCCACACCAGTCATCGTTTTTATAACCCCGCAGTTCCCATCAGGACCAGCTGGAACAGCCAAAAATGAGAGCTAAGGGGAGCTGCATTCTAAAATATCTGAAGGCTCCCAGGTTGGTGAATATTGCTCTATCTAGCTTAAAGAGCAGTATGGTGTAGTGGATGAGTGTCATCTAGGGCCTAGGAGACCAGCGTTCAAATCTCCACTCAGCCAAGAAGATTACTGGGTGACCAATGACTGCCTCTCAGCCTAATCTACCTCTCAGGGTTGTTGTGGGGATTAAACGAGGAAGAGGAGAACCATGTACACTTCCTTGAGCTGCCCGATGGAAAGGTGGAATATAACTCTAATAAATGAATATATAAATAGCAGGGAAGCTTGAAGTTCCTAAATGTTCATAGCCTTAAAGGGAATTTGCCTACTTAAGAAAACTGCACAATTAGCGTGAGCTGTCACATAATGTCATCAGCTTCCACGATGGTGAAAGCTGCCTCGTGGGAGACTTTATATAAAAGAGCTATCACGTTACCATAAAAGCTGCACACCAGCCCTAAGCACGGGATTCTCAATTGAAATGGTGATATTGCACACATAAATGAAGAGGTCTTTTGAGTCATCCTCTCACAAATGATACACAAATTGGGGGGAAAGTGAGTTTTGGTGGGTGGCAAGGTGAGGGATAGAAAACATTCACCACAGAAAACCAAGGAAAAACTTATAATTTATTCAATTAAGATGACCAGAGCGCCCACCTAAATTTACCTGAGAACATCCACTGATTGTAATTACTTATTCTCATGTCTATAGCAACCCGTTACAAATCAAACTCAATTATTTGAATTAAAGCTCTTAAGTCTAAAGAATTCAGAGGTTCTTCAGCATGCATAATAACCTTGTATTGAGTCTTGTGCGTGGGCAACCTTTGAAGCTGTCTTGTTCTCACTGGCAGAACTACACCATCTTTTACCTTGCTTCCCTTATAATAAAGTTGATGCTTCACTTTAAAACTCACCTAAGGGTGCTGTGTGAGTGAAAATGGAACAGGAAGGTTGCAGCAAATAAGGCAGAGTGTAGTTATGTATGTTGTAACATCCCATATAACGAAGTTTGAATGCCAGACCGCAAAATACAGATGTGTAACACACAAATGTTATCTAGATGACTTTTCCTGACAAGAGAGAGAACAAGAAACAAACATTGCACCCCACGTGCCAATAGCACAATAACTCAGTACTGTTGCTGCAACAGTTATGAATCAGTCACTGAGTATCCTGGCTCTGTTATGCATAAATGGCAATCACACATATACTACAGTTGTAGTATAGTGTTACAAGATTACAAACAAGAATAGCGACTGCCATATATTCTTTAGCGCATAAAGGGTAGATTTATACCCAACTTCCATGGCTACCATTTCCTTCTGCCTGAATCTCACGCCACTGAGATAACCTTCTAAATTCACTGACCGTAGGCAGTGCTACAATGCTAGGGGCCAACCCAGAAGTGGAAGGAATGCTAGCTGACTCTGACGATAACTCTAGACTTCAGAATTGCATTTTGGTGTTACTGTCATAATATGGAATCCAATACCCGGAAAGCAGCAATGCATAATAACATATTAAAATCAGCTCACAGGAGAAATGATCCCCCTTTCGAGGCACTACAGCAGTGGTAGTCAATATGGCATCCTCCAGATGTTGTACAACTCCCATGTCCCTGACCGTTGACTATGCTGGCTGTGGTTGATGGGAGTTGAGAGTCCCAACAACCTCTGCACATCATGCTGGCTTCTCCTGAACTCTAAAACAGAACGCAAGGCACCATCACAGGGGAACCCATAAAGCTTCCATCTGTAAGAGGTCTGATCAGTAAAAAAAAAAAAAGCAAAGCCTATTGGAATATGGGTGAATTAAAAATGAAATCCGTTTTCCGTTAAATCGTTTTGGCTCACGTGCAAAATGGAGCTCGTAAGGTAGAGAATAACCTGTTATCACTGAATAACCTGCGTTATACAGAAAGGAAAACTCCCTAACCAATCAACTGGTTTCTTAGGTGAAAATAAAGCCACGCTCCAATATTTATCATTAACAAGGAAATGCGAGTGTGTAAACATAAAAAGGAAAGTGCAAGATTCACTGAAATGAATGGGAGCCGCACAAGAGCACCAATGGTGAACTTGAACACCTCCCATTCATTTAAATGGAATTAGTGCATCACAGGAATGTGTCCTGCATCACTTAACGTTTTGGTTATTTCCCCCCCATTAATTGTACTGCAGGTTGCATGACATGGCCCTGATATAAATGCTGAACATCCTAAGTTGGGAAGAATCTTCCTTAAGCTATTTTCGGTCATCTTCTTCGACTAAATTGCACTTTTCCATACCGGAGACCACTTCTTCATTCAGTGCCGGGGAACCTTTTTCATCGTTCTTTCCTTTGCTTAAAGCCTTCAAGCACTTATCAAGTCTTTTCAAGAACACGTCGACATCTTCTTTCGTCATTCCAATGGCTGAAGCAGCATTGAGGTAGGCACAGTGGTATTGGTTTGTATGGGCCATGAAGCCTTTGAAAGTGTAACCACTCACTGTTTGCTGAGACCCAAGGGGAACGACCCTGAAAGGGGAGGGGGAAAGGAAAAAAAGTTACATACAGAAATACACCCAGAAATAAAACACAGAACAACCTAACTTGTTGAACTTTTCAGGGGTAATTATGGTGACTTAAAGGAAAGCAAGGGACACGGGTGGCGCTGTGGGTTAAACCACAGAGCCTAGGACTTGCTGATCAGAAGGTCGGCGGTTCGAATCCCTGTGACAGGGTGAGCTCCCGTTGCTCGGTCCCTGCTCCTGCCAACCTAGCAGTTCGAAAGGAAGTCAAAGTGCAAGTAGATAAATAGGTACCACTCCAGCGGGAAGGTAAACAGTGTTTTCGTGCGCTGCTCTGGTTTGCCAGAAGCGGTTTAGTCATGCTGGCCACATGACCTGGAAGCTGTCTGCGGACAAACGCCGGCTCCCTTGGCCTATAGAGCGAGATGAGCGCCGCAACCCCAGAGTCGGCCACGACTGGACCTAATGGTCAGGGGTCCCTTTACCCTTAAAGGAAAGCAAACCTACTAAGGGTCCAATCCAGACTCTCAACCACCAATGCTGGCAGTCACTGGCTGTGAGACCAACTTGGGATCCAGTTGATCCAGGGCCAGCTCAGCCCTGCCCTTGGAATGCCACATTTTGCGACTTTCTGCAGGCAGGATACTACCAACGCCCCACATAAGGGAGGTTTGGATTCCAGCTGCCCTTACCTGGGAGTGAGTGCCACTGAAATCAGTGGGATTTGCTTCAGAGTAAACATGCATAGAACTAAGTTGCATGCAAGCTCTGTCCTGCCAACCTCTGCATATCTTTTGGGTCAGTTTTGAGACTGGCTCCAACTGAAGTGAGGCTTGCTCCCGGAAAATTTGCTTCAATGCGTTTTTGAATCTGAGACGTTAACGGAAGTACTTACCTTGCGCCAGACACTTGTCTGGTGAAAAGCATAGATCCAAGCTGTGTGACAGCTGTCCCACTTTGTTTATCTAGCTCTCTGAGTGACATAGCTGAAAATACAAGTTAACAAGGTTACTGTAATTTATAGTAATTCCTTTCTACAGCAAACAGTAGTAGAAAGTTTTGGAAAAGTGTTCTCTGTGTGTGTGTGTGTGTGTGAGAGAGAGAGAGAGAGAGAGAGACAGAGAGAGAGAGAGAGAGAAGGAGAGAGAGAGAGAGAAAGAAAGAAAGAAAGAGAGAGAGAGAGGGATGCCTAAGTGTCCCATTCATATGGGGGGGGGAATCAGTGTATTTATTTATTTCCAACATTTCTATACAGTAGTACCTTGGGTTAAGTACTTAATTTGTTCCGGAGGTCCGTTCTTAACCTGAAACTGTTCCTAACCTGAGGTACCACTTTAGCTAATGGGGCCTCCTGTTGCCGCCGTGCCACCAGAGAACAAGTTCTGCTCTCATCCTGAAGCAAAGTTCTTAACCCAAGGTACTATTTCTGGGCTAGCGGATTCTGTAACCTGAAGCGTCTGTAACCCGAGGTACCACTGTAATTCCCATTAACAACAACAACGAAACCTTCCCTGGACAGTTCAGAAGTAAAAGTCACAAACCACATTTGCCGCGATATAATCACCCTCTGCTTTATTACACCGCAGATTTCTTCTCTGCAGATACAACCATCCCACAACACCCTAATTACCTAAGGAGATGGGGTTGTGAGGTGTTTCCAGCAGCCTCTCGTTGTAAGCTTCAGCTAATTTCTTCACATTCTCCGAAAGGTAGGAAAACATTTCCTAGGGGGAGAGAAGGGGGACCAACTGCTTTTAGTTCTTTTTCGGCTATTCTTCACCGGAAATTTGTGTCTTCAGGTTTGCCACTAAGTATTTCCTACTTAATATTTAGATTAATCCGTTAAAACAAAAGCAGCAGCAAGCAGGTTTGAGGTCAACGAAGACCAGGAGCTGCTGGCTAATCAAACAGCACTGAGGAAACCAACACCAGTGTCTTCCTGCATCTTTTTGCAGGAATTATTATTATTATTATTAGTTTTTAATATTTAATGCTGCATTGTTTTTAACACTCGATTGGGAGCCGCCCAGAGTGGCTGGGGAAACTCAGCCAGATGGGCGGGGTATAAATAATAAATTATTAAATTATTATTATTTTACAGAGACCAGCTGGAAGGATGTAGCCAAAGACCAGGGAAACTTAGTTGGTCCCAGATAAAGCTTGTATCCCAAAGTAGGTGCTTTGCCCCCTGGGAAATCTGTGTTTTACCACTGAATCAGAGCAAATGGCAGAAAACCCCATTGCTGTGCCACGGATTTTCTTGGGGAAAGCACCAGGAAGAAGAAGAAGAAGAGTTTGGATTTGATATCCCGCCTTTCACTCCCTTTGTAGTACTTAAGTACTTAACCCGAGGTACCACTGTACTTTTTTATTCACCATTAAAGAAGCTTGTCTTAATTGTACAGTGCAGAATTGGACGTTTTGATTAGGGTTGACGTGTTTTCTTTTAACATTTGTGCATGTAAGGATGTGGGAGACTAGGAGGAAGAAATAACTTTGGGGAGGGAATTTCATATCTTTAGAGCAGCCGAGTATGTGCAGCGGAGAGGCGTCTTTAAATGCTGCATGATAGCACTACAAATATAGCTTTTTTCCAGTATAAGGATGCAGTGAAAAGAAAAGGAGTTACATTCTTGTCAGTCTTGTGCAGGGGAGGAGGAGGAGGAGTTTGGATTTGATATCCCGCTTTATCACTACCCGAAGGAGTCCCAAAGCGGCTAACATTCTCCTTTCCCTTCCTCCCCCACAACAAACACTCTGTGAGGTGAGTGGGGCTGAGAGACTTCAGAGAAGTGTGACTGGCCCAAGTCACAATAAAAGAAAAGAAAGAAAACACTAGGACACAGACTTGTGCCTAGAAACACAGCACAAAAGGAAGTCTGGATGAGTCCTGAGTTCAAATCAAATTACCGTATTTTTCGCCCGATAGGGCGCACCGGCCCATAGGTTGCACCTAGGTTTTTTTGGGGGGGGATAAAGAAAAAAAAATTATTTCCCCCCCCAGGTGCGGGGCTGGGGCGGAGGAAGCCCAAGCTTCCCCCGACCCCAGCCCCCAGAATAGGCTGCTATCCGCAAGCCTTGGGAGCCCAGCGGGAAGTCGCACCGGGCTCCCAAGGCTTGCGGATATCTGCCCGAAGCCCGGGGCGCACTCCACTGCGCTCCCCGGGTTTCGGGCTGCAGGCTGCTGTCCGCAAGCCTTGGGAGCCCGGCGGGAAGTCGCACCGGGCTCCCAGGGCTTGCGGAGAGCTGCCCGAAGCGTGCTCCGCTGCGCTCCCCAGGTTTCGGGCTGCAGGCTGCTGTCCGCAAGCCTTGGGAGCCCGGCAGGAACTCCCGCGGGCTCCCAAGGCTTGCAGATAGGTTCCTGAAGCCTGGAGAGCGAGAGGGGTCGGTGCGCACCGACCCCTCTCGCTCTCCAGGCTTCAGCGAAAGCCTGCATTCGCCCCATAGGATGCACACACATTTCCCCTTCATTTCTGGAGGGGAATAAGTGCGTCCTATAGGGCGAAAAATACGGTAATTTCTCAGTCAGTGTAGTGGCATGAAAAATTTTGGAGGCAGGGCAAGGATTAGACCAGCCTCCTCTCGCAGATCCAACGTTATGAGGATTGAAGAGCAACCCATGTCCAACTCCTCACAAAAGCCAAGGAACAATATACACGCCACGGATAGTGGATTTGGCAGAAATCTTCACCCCTTGGCTAATCCCCCAAGCAAGACTACCACAAGGAAGCCCAAACAAAGCAGCTTTCAGAGCTGAGCTTTTAGGAGCTTTTCGCAGCAGTAAAACCAGCTAATTTAAAACCAGGACGTTAAAGCTATTAATTAATTGTGGCTGGCTGACTGAAGTGACATGGTGAAACAAGGGGGAACGAAACAGTAAACACCCGTGATTTATTAAATGATCTGCCTTTCAGAATTATTTTTCCCCCTATTTTAATACACGTCTAGATCTTACAAGCAGCTAACTAAGCAGTTTACCGTACAATAAATTAGTAGTGCCATGTATTCGGCAATACTTTTTGTGAGGCCAAATCCATATCTAACCTCTATTAGAAAATCTGGCTACTCTGTGAGGAATTTACGAGGACTCCAAACACAAGTTTTACTTAAGAGAAATGTAACCGAATTCCATTGATTTTTCTACATTGCAAGTGCTATATTTAACTCAAGACACAAAAGGATCTTATCATACTAGAAGAGTATTGAACAACTTAAGCACTAAAATGCCAGCTAAATTTCCAATGGGGGAAGCGAAGAGATTAGATTAAAAAGGCAAGTAAAACAATGCTTTATGCTAGATCAGCAGCGTTTGAGGAAAAAACAAAAAAACAAGTTACCTCCAAAATGTGTGGCATATCCACAGCTCTTAAATAAGTATAACTGAGTATGGATTTCAACAACCAGTAACCCAGAGATATTCACAAATTGCAGTTTTCACACAAAAGAAAACAAATGTCTCAAATGTGTGTGTGTGTCCCATGTTACACAGTTCGAGTGAGTAGACGTGTTGATTTTTCAGGAGAATTTGGCTGACTCTTTGTTAGAACAGAACCATATGCTACTCTGATGTACTGAGAAGCCATGGTTTGGCAGTATGAGAATGAGCTTTGGGGTCACCTGCTTCCCCCTCCCCTTTCCATTCCTTTTTTGTGCCAAGATTAGAAACTTCTAATTGCTTTTTGTGGCAAAGTTTGCCTATCTAGATGAAGTGGCAAACCAATGGACCACAAAACGGAATCCAATGTTTTCTCTTTGCCTTCCTCCTTTCCCCATATGCCAAGATTAGAGAGCCAGAGTCTTGTGCCTGGTGCATGTTCATAATGCTAACCATGGTTTAGTGCAGGGGTCAGCAAACTTTTTCAGCAGGGGGCCGGTCCACTGTCCCTCAGACCTTGTCGGGGGGTGGGGCAGACTATATTTTGGAAAGAAAAAACAAAAACGAATTCCTTTGCCCCACAAATAACCCAGAGATGCATTTTAAATAAAAGGACACATTCTACTCATGTAAAAACACGCTGATTCCCGGACCGTCCGTGGGCCAGATTTAGAAGGCGATAGGGCCGGATCCGGCCCCTGGGCCTTAGTTTGCCTACCCAAGATCTATACTCTGGGTGGCAAGTAAGTGGGGCAGGGCTTTGCTTTTGTGACCCTTAGATTCTGGAAATAGATCCCTTGAGAGGCAGGTCTAACCTCTTTGCCACTAACCTTTTCAAGACTGGTGGGCCTCTAGTCTAAATCAGTGTTTTTTTCCTAAAAAAAAGTTTAGGGGTACTCTCATTTTCCTACTCATTGAAATACTGCCCCTCAATGAGGCCAAACTGAGATTCACAAAATGTTTAGGGGTATGCGTTGTTACGATATGGATGCAATGCGACCGCGAGCAGCAGGTGGCTTGAAAGCAAAACATAATGGGAATGTTGGAATTGTTCCGTGGGAACAGAGGGAGAGTCTTATTTCAGTGCAAAGCACCGGAAATAGCTCTGAGTGACCTGTACAGGAAGTACAGGAGGAGTTTTGTCTCTCTCTTTTGATGGAGTCTGATGAGAGCAGACGTGTTTCTCTGTAACGCTGCAAAGACAGAAATAAAGGCATGTAAATACATTTCTGTCTATCTCTTTCCCCTGCCTGGGGGAGGGCAGGGAAGAGTGGTGTGTTCTTCTCACGTTTGAGGAGGATCGCCGATCGAGACCTTGCCTGCATCTGCCGGGGAATGCAGACAGGGAGGTCACCAGGAGATCATGCCAGGTGCCTGGAGAGTGGCCAGTTTCTCCTGATATGGCTGATTTCCTAATCAGCCTGCGTCCCCCCCAGAAAAAAAGCACTGGTCTAAATTAACTTGTTTTCTCTGCATGGATACGTGTCATGCGGCTTTTCTGCTGATTGCAGTTTAATTGTACTGATCCTTTTAAAAATGTTGCACTTGTTCCATTCTTTAATATAATTGTATACTGCTTTATGGGACCTGAAGGTTCCATAAAGTGGCATACATTTTAATATATAATAAGCTTCTGGAGCAGTGCTGTTTGGCCTGTGCTTGATTTGTGTGAATGGAAGTTCCCAGTGGGCAGACAAAGCCCTAGATATGTGAGGTTTTCTTTTTCTTTCATCTGTAATAATTCACTTGAGCTTAATAGTGGACATGGTTTAGTGTTTCATCTAACTAGACTTTCCAAAATCTTAAGTGGAGCTTGAAAAAAAACAAAAACCCAGCAAATGAATGGTTGGGATCCAAAGTGCAATGGACAGGCGCTTTACTTACCAATAGGGTATTTTCTGCTTCCTTTTCAGGTATCGCCCTACCACTACCATAATAGTGGCTGCTGGAAGGAAATGATCTTTCTCCACCTGTGCAGGTGTGAAAGGACTATTCCACACAGACAAGTGGGGAGTTTGGATCCTGCATCATCTCAATCAGACAAGACAGATTACTGATAGAAAAGCCTGCTGAAAAGCACTACACAGCTCCTCCATTGCGCCACTGTTGCATGAAACTACTAAGATAGGCAGTGCAGTACAGTGGGTAAGGCTAGGTGGGCTAGCAATACCTGCATGCAACTATCTGCTCAGAAGTGGAGCAAAATGGGTGGTTATAACTGGGATGGGAGAAGGACAGATTGCCATTTTAGGGGACGGGTGCTGCCTTAGGGCAAACACTCCCTAGCCCCTAGGCAGCCTGTTTATTTGTCAACAGTATTACAAAAGCACTGAAAGCCTCCAGTACTTT